GCCGAGGTGGTCAATAACGACCGAACGAGAAGATTTACTCATCGTCGCTTCTGGACATCAAGAAAGTGCTGAACGCACGAAGTAGATCGTCGATCCTGAATGAATCCTCAGATTCGTACTTTCCTTTGGTAAATAAATTTAATAGGTCGTTTTAAAAACCCGCCGTCGTACCTACCTCCAGTCCAAGGAAATCAACTTGATTCCGGGAACCAAATACTGCGTAACACCCTGCCTAAGGAGCAGTGTGACGTCATTGATGCCTTCTTCTGTGCGAAGCACGACGCAGAAATGGTGCCTGAGAGTTATCTTCCCATTCGACACCTACGATTTGAGTCCAGATGCCGAACGGCAAGTGGCGTATCGTTCACGCCTACAATAAGCTAAACGCTGCCACCATTCCGGCACAGACGCCGATTCCTAGAGAGGATATCCTCAAGAAGAATATGGTTGGCTGTACAAAATACACTCGACTTGGTCGATGGGTATTACCAACAGCTCGAGCGAGTGATATTCCGCTGACAGCAGTAAGTACTCGGGCGGGATGCTCTGGGAGTGACTGGTGATACCCCAAGGGCTGTTTAATGCACCAGCAACATTGAATCGTCTTGTGACACAATTGTTTAGGCCCCACCGGGCGTATGCACAGACATACTACGACGATATCCTCGTCCACAGTCGTACGAGGCACAGAAGGACAGATTAGGAACGTCCATTCAAGAGCGGTGCTTTAGTACATGCGCGCGAATAAGCTGTATGCCAATGCCGATAAGTGCATTTTCGGCGCTGAAGAAATTCCCTTTTCAGGGTACTTCATTGGGAAGCGTGGCCTTCGAGCGGATCCCGCTATGGTCAATGAACCAAAAGGACTTGCACAAGTGGCTTGGGCTCGCCAACTACTTGCACATAAATATAGCGCACATTATGCGGAATTGGAACGGTCATTGTCTAAACTCCTTAGCAAGGATACAGAAGGGTGTTAAGACACCGAGTATCGTGAGACTTTTGACAGGTCAAAGACAGCCTCCTTTGTGCGCCAATACTGGCGTCGCCAGACCCGATCGTCATTTTAGTGCCGTGTGTGACGCTTGGGACTTTGCCATTGGGTATGCACTACTGCAAGCAGACGCCGAAGGGGAGATCGGGTGATCGCGTTTTAATCTCGCCAGCTTACTGCTACAGAGAGTAACCACCCGATCTACGACAAGGAATCACTTGCGATGAAGTATGCACTTGCCAAGGTCCTGTTCACATGCTTGGCTCACAGCCGTTTGGAATCTACACAGATCATGCGTCATTACGTGCGGCGACTCCGTCGCCACACCTCTCGCAGAGGATGGCTAGGTGGCTCTCCTTCTTCGCAGAATATAACTTCAAGGTGAAGTATAAGCCGGGAAAGTTGATACTTTGGCTGATGCGTTGTCATGCAGACTTATTTATATGTTTGCTCATGTCACGACGGTGACGTCGTCAGTGACGGATCTGATCCGCGCTGCATACACTGGTGATGGTATGTGTAGCGCTGCTACAGGCTCTCGGGAGCAAGGAGTTTGGAAGTTGAATAACGCATTGCTGTATTATTCCAGCGATTTAACGGATACGCCACGAATAGTGGTTACTCAAGTTGAGGATTTAGTTTACCGTATAGACCCACAACACCACACTCAGTTGTCATCTTGGTCGTGAAAATACCTACAACTCTGTAAGTTGCCACTACTGGTGACCTAAGCATTACAAATGGAAGATTACATATGTGCGCACGTGTGAGTCGTGTGACAGGATGAACCTTTCTCCAAATGCGGCGGCACCGCTGGCCAATTTACCGGCGCCCGCCGCGTGTTGGCAGTCCATGAGTATGGACTTTGTGTTTGGCCTGCCGAAGGTCTCGGCTGGCAAAAAAGGTGTAGTGTTGTGGACTGTTTGGGCACGATGGGTCATCTTGCGGCAAGCCGGACACCATCGACGGTCCCTGAGCCATGGGATGGCAGTGTAAGCGGGACGTGAGGATTAACAAGCCCGTATACGTAGAATGGCGTTTAGCCGTTAAATGAATGCGCTGAATTGTTCAGAGCAAACTCTACGAGTGGAAGTATGGCGCTACAGCGCCTCAACATCTCAGTGCAGACGCTGCGAAGAACGTCTCCAACGACGCGATTCACGCGCTCAATACGACTATCGGTTTGCGGATGATCCGCTATCGACATAGTCAACTTGATACTTAGCACCTCGAAGAAAATTAGACCCAAACCTCATTACAAAGCGTGGGTCTCTATAAGAGGCAATTGACTACGGTAGTCCATGTCGTCGAAAGACACGATCGACAAACGAATAGCCGAAAGGCTAGCTGATGTCAGCCCCCTCACTGTCCGTGGAGAAGTTACCAGACTGAGTGTCGTTCGGTATGCGATGGCTAAAAGCCAAGACATACAGAATAAATATACAGATGGAAGAAGCAGAAGAAACATGGAGAAATTTGGGGTCAGAGACCTGTTTATATTAAATGCCAAAAACCTTCCTACACATGCAGTCTCTGCTGTCTTTAAGACAAAACTCCGTCCACGGCTTACTGCACTTTTAAGGTCGTGGTCAAGCTTGGCCTTGCGTATACGCTGAACCATCCGAGGATGCGCACCCACCCGGTGTTTTACGTGAGCTTGCTTAAGCTGTAACGGGATCCGGTGCAAGTGAACGCGAAAGCTCTGGCGCCGGAGCGGCGCCTAAAGGCGCTGGACCACCCAGAAGCCAAACTGGCAACTGGTTCTGGGTACGCAGTGCAACAATTTCCGTCTCCAGCGACTCCACCGTCGCTCGAAGTGACCTATTCGTCTTCCCGACGACTAGGAGCCGCTCCGACAGAGCACAAAAAAAATTTCTCAACATGAGGCAGTCGATGCACAAAGTGCTCCACGCTCTCGATGTGTTTCGCACAACAGTTGGCGGTCTTGGAACGATGCTCGGCAGAGTGCCGATGATGACGGACTTTGTCCTCCAATGCTCGAAGAGCATCGCGGGTCACCGAATGGCGATCGACCCAATCTTCACCGCCCGCCGGCGACTCTTCTCGATAAGAATCATGGCGTCCGCTACCAGGTGGGACGCCTTATGGATCGACGTCGTCGATAGGGTCTGACTCAATATATTGTAAAGTGGCGTGTATACTCAAACTTCGCGAACTCGTCGGAGTTTGAGATTCCACTACCCAGACGCCGTGGACGGTTATGATCAGAAGCATCATGAGGCTTCGCATCGTTGTGCGCCCCACGCTTCTCGGTAGTAACTCGGGAAGCCGAAGGACCACGAGCTGAGCTCAAGCTGTGGCCCTTAGCTGCTATTGTCGTAGTTTCACCCTGTGAAAAACCACAGAGCTTTTGGGTGCGTGATGGATGATTCCATGTGTCATAGGGCGACAATTTACAGATAGTCGGTGTTGCGCCTTGAGTTTGGCAAATTCAAATGTAAGATGGCGCTCTACGCGCACGTCCACTTTCATGTGGCTTCGCCGTAAGGTAGACAACGAGGAGATTTTTTAATGCCGCTGCATCCACCGCTCAACGAGCTCCTTATCTCGCCACGGGCGAGTACCACGGAAATAGTCCGCATTGCGGATACAGGAGCGCCTCCTTTTTAAGCTCAAAGTCAAACGCAGTACCGATCCATTGAGAGTTCTTGTGGTACCAAAAAGCGAGCTCGGAGAGCTATCCGCTTATCAAGCTCAGCTTGTGCAGTGGCCGGGGGCCCGACTACGTAGACGCCAAACGATCGAGTGATCGCGTTTTTCGATTCAGTAGCGGGACCCGCCGAGCAGAGGCCGTTTTCCACACGATAGTCTAGAACCTAACATGACATGAGAACCGCCCTATGGGCAGCCTTCGATTGCTGATCGTGTACCTTTTCGAGGCGATTGGTAACAATACCACTTCCACCGAAAGCCGAGAGGTGGAGGAACGGACATGGTGTCCGCAAGGATCGAGCTGAACTCACGTAGCGCCGTTGGCACATCTTGTCCTCCTCGTCTTCCCATGCTGGAAAAGGAGTATTCGACTCGTGGTCGGATTTACAAAAATATCGACGAGGACCGGGCGTGGTGTGTTGCGCTCGGTTGCCGAGGTCTTGACGTGAAGCCGTGGGCGCTCTCGGAACCAGCTAGACTGGGTGTTTTGCGTGTCATAGACTCAGGGCTCATTGAGCGGAGAGTGTTAGATAGTGTAATCGTACAAAGGAGTTGATTGCACAAGTTGGTGTAATCACATTGTGGTGTGGCTACACCGTAACAGGAAGCAACTACGTGGTAGGATTGCCAGTGTAATACAAATTTATCAGGTATCACTATATTAATTAGAAAAACCTAATGTTTCAGATATTGGCGGCTCTGCCGCAACTAAAACAGTTAAAAACAGTTTTGATTTTGAACTTGGAGGTAGCAAATTGCGATCCGCTCCACTCGTACTGGTTCTTGTAAGGAACTTAAGGTCGGTGACCTCAGTTTAGCTTCCTCTAAGCAAAGAACGACGGTAGCCCTGCTGCAATTTAGCTCTCTGATATGGTTTGGATACTTCAAGCAATGCAATGGTATATGATGGAGAAATCGCGCAAATTGTATAATATTCATCCGCATGTAATTCTGTAGCATGGAGCACTTGAACCATTCGGGTGTCGTTCATGCGGGCTCAATACGATATCATTATCCGATCGCAAAATAAATAGCGGCCGAAATCGATGTCATTTGAGGAGAAAGGATCGAATTTTTATTCAGCAAATCAGTTACGCAAAATACGCAAAGCCGCAACGACTAACATATGTAAGCCGAGGAGGCGCTAATAAGGAAGGTGATTTAGGGGCAAAAAATCAGAAAGACGTCGAGGAAGAATGCAAAAATAATGATCTAGAGTCACTATTCTGATAGTAAGGTATTTGTGACATTGTTTATCCCAAACGACCTTTCGCACACACCTAAAACTCATCATAATAGATAAACAGGCTTATGACCCATTTATTCAAGTGGAATGCCCTCGAAAGTGGAAAATAGCGACAACATTGATTGTTACACATTACAATTAGAGCTTCAAAAGCTCGGAATTCATGTCGTATCTAGTCGACAAGATACAGTCGTATCTGTTAAGATCAAGGGTCTCGCAGGACGAGCGTTGAATCAAGGACTACGATTAGCTGATCAACTTTTGCAAGCGAAGTTTAAACATGCTATTCAACTGCATACGGATTCAGCGACAAAACTTTTTATTGATCCAACATTTGGACCTTGTACCACCGATATAGATGGAGCAGCAGCAATGTGCAAAGCAGGAGCAAATATTCCATCCAAAGGGGGGTCGCAGCATCAAGCAAAAGTTCTTGGACTGCTACAACACGGAAAAATTCGGTGGGAACGACCAATATACGCTTCAAATGACGAAGCTGACAAGAGGTACAGTTTTGGGGATTATAGATCAGGTCGATGTCTGATTTTGTATACAGTCTGATGTTGAACGATGAGGATGAGTGTTCGACTGACAACGTTTTTGCTTCGAATGCGACGTTATTTGCTGATGGAGCTTCATCTGGAGACGTCATTCAAGGAAATCTCGGCGATTGCTGGTTTCTGAGTGAGAATCATGAGTAGAGCTGAGAACGCACATATGATTGAACATGTTTTGGTGTTAAATTAAGGTGCATTGAGTGTGGTTGCAACACGTTCAGACATACTAGAGCAGAATTTTTGGCGCAAAGACCTGTACAAGTCAAGAGGGTTGTTTGTTTGCAGATTTATGAAGGTCCGCATATGACATGTTTCGTGTCTTTGTTTGATTTCTTACCTTCTTAAACCATCTCTACTAGAATTTCGTATGGAATTACATTCTCATTGACGACCGGTTGCCAGTGTTTGGATTCAGTGATTTCAAGGAAGGAAAACCATACTTTGCTCGCTGTCGTAATCCGAACGAGCTCTGGTACACTGACAAGCAAAAACATGACTGTTTTCATACTTCAACGGGCTAACGAGGTCATGATGTTACTGGATGGCAGGGTATCCTTGCTAGAAAAAGCTTATGCAAAGCTTCACGGCAGTTATGAGGCTCTTACCGGAGGATTTGTTGATTGTGCGCTGAATGATCTTACCGGAATGTGCTCAGAGCAAGTGATTTTAAAAGAGGGATTTCCAGGATATGGTGAGAGCCCTTACGAACCTGTCAAACCGTTACAAAAGCACGGGGATCCGTTTTGGGGGAAGATCAATCGTTATAGGGATTGCGGGTCACTTATGGGATGTTCAATTCAGCCGCAGACAAAAGAAGTTGCAATTGAATCAAGCGCAGGAAATGGCCTTTACTTCAAACATGCGTACGCTTTAGTGGATGCAGCAGAGATCAAAACAGTAGAAGGGGAATCTGTTCGCTTGCTTAAGCTGCGAAATCCATGGGGAATGGGTGAATGGGTAAGAATAAATGAAAATTCTAGTTGGACCATATGTCACTTACTGTCTTACCATTAGACTGGGCCGTGGTCAGATTCTAGCGATGAGCGCACTATCAATGAGGATGCTATCGCAAAGTATTTTAAGATTATTAATCGCAAAGTTGGAGCCAACGCTGAGAAGCGAGTCTTTATGACGATGAATGCCCGTGGAGTTGTTGGTGCAGACACCATCGCCCAAGAAGAGGAGATCGAGATCAACGCAAACGACGGAACTTTTTTTATGTCGTTCGAGGCTTGGATGCAGTCATTTACACACTTTTTTGCTGGCATAGGTGGGCCAGCGTAGACGTAATATTAAATTTTTATAGCGCTTTAATTCGTGGTGTGAAGCCAGATTTTCCCGATTCATGGCATGGGCGTCGCTCAGAAGGATGTTGGAATGAAGCAAATTGTGGTGGTAATACAACTAAAAGCACTTGGGTAAACAACCCACGCTTCGAGCTGGCGCTCGAGCAGCGAGCTCAAATATTTGTGTCGTTGAGTCAGGAAGATCCTCGTGGAAGCGACATTTTAAAAATTGTACCTATTGGCTTTCATATCTGCTCACTAAGTCCAGTTAAAAATGATCCGAACAAGTTTGAAACTCGAGAACCCGCGAATAAACTCGATGCTTATTATCGAGCATACAAACCGGCTGAACGAGAAAGCTATCAGAGTGGGAGGCGATCGGAGCCACTTCCACCGGCTATAATGCCTGGCACGGTCATTCCCGGGATCGACGATGACGGAGTACCACAACCTGCTTATACTTTCAAACAAGCTGTTTCGGTACGGGTAATACATTTGTTTTGTACCTGCTCTTTAAGTAATTTTGCTTTGGCCTTAAGGTGGAAGCCACGATGGAGCCTGGACGATACTGCATCATTCCGAGCATGTACATGAGAACAGTACGGTCTTAATTGCATGAAATGTAATAGTTATGGTTTAAATGTCAAGTGAACAGGAGAAAACAAGTGGGAGTACCAATGTTGGCAATTTTTGGATCTCGGTATACTCGGACAAGCCAACATTTCGATTAGAAGGAGGTGAAAAAATTGTCGAGGAAGAGGAAGGCGACGAAGAGAAAGTTAACACAGATCAGCCATCTAACCAAAGAAAAAGTGTTGATTTTGGTCATAAGAGCAAAAGGCATTTTGTCATCAGTTCAAATCAAAATTTAGAAACCATCTTGAAATCAAGAAGTGCATCAGTAGCTGGGAAGCGTCAGCGATTTGAGATCGAAAAGCAGGAAATTCTGAAGCAAGCGAAACGGATTGGAATCGGATTGCGTGAGCTGAGAGCAACGTTTGCAAAGTTTCCAAAACTTTCGAAAGCAGAGTGTCGATCAAAGTTGCAGAAACTTGGGTTTAATGTGTCATGCTGGGATGACGATACATTAGGATTCTTCTCTGGTAGAGGGGAGAAGAGTGGAATGATTCAAACAGATTACATCTTACAACTGTTTGCTTCAGATCTTGAGGAGAAAAACACGATTCTCGAGCTTCCCGATATGGAAGAAGATGGAGACACGCCTAACAGTATACACCGCGAAGGCATTCTTGAAATTGAACTACTCGGAGCAACTGGTCTAACTATTTGTAGAAAACGAAAGGGTATACAGCGACAAGCTCAAATCACGGCCCCTACATTTTCGCCATCAGAAACTTGTCTTCGTCAACAAATTGGAAGAGAAATTCTGGATCGAGATTTAACTATGGCCAGACAGCTCGATCACTTTGCAAAGAAGTCTGTACTGCTTGCAAAAGCGCACAAGGCTAGTAGACAAACAATCATAGGAGCTTCAAAGTATTCTATGCAGAAAACTACTCCAGTGACAGCATTTTATGAGCTTTTGGAAAGAGAATATACCGCTCAAAAATTATCCACCCTTAACTCAAACGATAACCTCGATGATCAGATGTCTGACAGCCAAATCCTAGATCACTCCACGCAAATTGAGACGTCTTCCTTCTACTCTGCTCAGTCTCCAAATGACATTCAAGGGTGGACACAACCAATAAATAATCAAACTGCATTGGAGTTGCACAAGAGCAATCACTTTCGTGATCTTGAAGTGAAACGATCAGCCCGTTTAAAGTCGCTACTTCAGCACAAGCAGATTGCTCTTGGTGATGCAGAGAAAACGGCTGCGCTGCCTCGTCTAATTGGTGGTAAAAAGAGTGGCTCGAATTATATCAAGTGTATCGATTGTGGAACTCGCGTGTTCATTTCTGGGCGATCGAAGAGATTTGTAGAAGCATCAGAGGAGCCGACAAGTTTTTTGTGCAACGGATCAAATTGTGTTAATGTCTTTTGCTCTCCCTGTTTCTCGCTTTTGCCTGAAAAGAACAAAGTTTGCGAGGAGTGCTTTCAGCACGAAATATTATCTGACGAAACATTTGGTGAGCAACTTCGCAGCATTTTGATCGAAAAAATTGGCGGTTCCGACCAGCAACGCTCGCATCTTGAGCGAGTGTTTCATTCTTTTGACGCAGATGGTTCGGGGTCTTTGAGTTCCCAAGAATTTGAGAAAATGCTTGAGCTGTTGGACATCCAACCTGCACTTAAGCAGAATCAAATAGCTTCTCTTATCGAACAGTTTGACGCGAACGGTGATGGTGAAATAAGTCTAATCGAATTTAAACATTGGATATTAACAGATCACGTATGGACGGAATCTGTAGCGTCACCAACAAGTCGGATGGACACACCACACAATGTTGCTCAAGTCCTCGAGACAATTATATCTCCCTTATGTAATGATATCATAGATGTCGCCTACAGCGCGTATGCATTGAGTTCAACGATAAAGTCTTGGTCTAGCTCATCGAATTTTACAACAGAAGCAAATAAAACGTCACAAAGTGATGAGTCCGGAGTTATCCTATTTCAGCGAGTCATGGGCCTATCGTCTCTTTCGGCTGAAACGTCAAATGTATTAGTAGAAGTATTTGAACAACTGAATAATGATGCAAGCGATAGCATAGATCAATTCGACTTTGTCGATTACTTCGCGGTATTGGGAATTCACTTCAATTTCGAAGATGCACTGCTGATCATGAATCGCTTAGGTGCCACTTCTACAGCACACGAGTCTACAACAATTCAGAAAGCTGTTTTTATGAAGTATGTCGAAACAATAAGCACCAAGTCTTTCATGCGTCAGAGGGATGACCAAGCTAGTAGTCTAAGTAACATCTTACTTAAGCTCGATGAGATCGCTCAAACAAGCCTTTCTGTTCGAACAATGTTGCAAGACGAGCTACAACAACTGCATGGAAACATGACGAACAACGAGCTGATATCACTCTGCCAAAGTATCTACAGCAAGGTAGAACTTGACGTTACTGTCAACGATCTCAAGTCCCTCGCATTTAACCTCACATTTCATCACGACGTATTCACGAATGATCAATCTTCTGTGCCGAAAATCAAAAGAGAGGAACAGCTTCTGTCGTTAAAGTCAAGTGGGGACGTGCTGGCTAGAGCTTTACTCACTGAATCTGGAAATTTAATGGCATATGTAAGGACATTTGATGCTGATGCAATTTTTGCTAAGCTTTCAGCTCATCTACAGAAACGCAGCGGAACACTTGATATTAAAATTATTTGGAAAAACGTGTTTGGAGCCGACCCGGCTGATGCCATCTATCTTAATGACTTTGTACGAGGCGTGCTGAAGACTGGATTTGAAATAGGCACTGGTATCGGGTCGAATTCTGTTCCGGATGATCGACTTTTGACAAAAGTACTGATTGCACTCAGTCTTGATGTAGTACGAATCGACTATCGAGTCAAATTTCCAGCGACGCTGAATTGGAACGATCCAGTTCTGGACTTTAACTTGTTTCAGATCATCATGCGACTTAAAAATCTAAAGGATCTTGAGTCTCAAATCAATCATGCGCTCATAAATTTCTCACAATTGTGTAATGGAGAGCACCAGTATCTTGTGACAATGGCGCTTGATGCGAATCGAAATTTGATCATCAGAGCAAGAGATCCAATTTTTAAACTTACTGCCGATCTCATACTTTGTGAGAATGAATTTGACTTGCAAAATCTGTTAGCACAAGTCCAATTTCAGGACTTTGAGAGTCGACAGCAAAAAATTCACGAAAAATCACGAGAAGCTTCGTTCATCCAGTCACCGCATGGTCTCATTACGAGCGACTTGTATCCGAAATTGAATGCGTCAATGCTAGCAATTATTGAGCGAACTAGAGTGGAGCAAAAATGTCAGCGTGTTTATACTAAGTCACAATTTGCCGTCCGTGTCCTGGGTCTGACTTTGGTGGAAAGTAACGCATTCATATCAACTCTACGTAATTTACTCTCCAAATATGAGTTTCCATTCTACTGGTCGATAAATCAACGCAGTTTAGTGTTCTCCATTGATAGCGAGTACTTTGATCAGCTAGGCAAACCAAGTTTTCAACAACTTGTTGCGGATACGATTTCAGAACGATCAACTCCTTCGCTGCGGGCTTTAGCAACATTTGTAGCGCACACTGCATCTACGTTGCGGGTTTGTTACCACATTGTCGGCAAGTACTCGAAAGCTGAAACGAGCTGGCAGGAGTTTCAAGACCTCATCTCGGGTCACCAAGATGCGTATGCTGTCCTACATCTGCATCCACACGGTTCAACGTACACGACTGGTGTCTCTCGTGTAAGTGGCTCAGGAGCTGTGCAATGGAATTTTCAGACTCTGATCGCGATTCAAGAGCCAAATGTTTGCGACTATCGGATCGATCGCCCTGTCATTTTCACAGATACTGTCAAAGTAGCTTGTACCCCTGAAAGCTCTCCATCTGTTGAGAGTATTTCATTCATTGTCGGTGATCATGACGAGAATTTAGGTCATTTCGTAGTCCTCAGCGTGCGAAGAGCTCTACCAAATGGGCTACAAGCTCCAAAGCCGAGACTCTATTGCACAGCTTATGACCCGTTGACATCGTGTGATTATGCGGTGGAGGGATACCCTTCGGATTGGCCAATTGATTTTTTTGATGTCAGTGTCAACCCTTCGTTTGAGTCTCAGTGGCAAGCAATGCTTTGCAATATGCGCCTTGGCCAAACTATTACTCCAGAACTAGTTATATCTGTCTATAACAAACTGCCCAAAACCGACAAATTGATCGGAGAGTGTCAAGTTGCGGTTGGATCTGCTATCGCTCAAGAAGGTCACAATTTCAAGAAAAACATCACACTGCAATCTGCGACGTCAACTTCTGCTGGAGTCATGGCGTTGACGTTTCGCTTTGACGTGAGCAAAACGCCTAATACGAAACCTTCATTGACAGGTTCGGAAGATTATCATTCAGGAAGTCGAGAACAAATAAAGTCTGGTGTACAATACTCACCAGAAGTTCGAACGGAACTAGTCCATAATAGTTTTGATGACAGGTCGAATCAGTTGCCAGTCTTCACACCTTTGAGTGGGACGGCTGAATGCACAGCACGAGAGCAAGTGAAACAATTGCAAGCGCAGCTTCAACAGCTATCAAACATTGCAAACAAGACCTCCGACGATGAAGCTGAAAGATGGAAGCGGAGACTGAAGCAGGCAAGACAAGAACAACGCGCAATAGACGAACAACATGCCGCGACGTGAGTTTATTTCCAGAACTTCATGTGCAGGGTTCTACTGAATCTTAATTGTGATTACACTCTAGATTGGCAGATTTTCAAGAAGAAATTCGTTGCTTAAGGCAACAAATCGAATCAAGAACGAGCGATACTCAAAAAGTAAATCACCTGAAACACTTTCAGCTTGCACCTCACGCCTCAGCAAACGAGATTTTCTCCACGATTAGAGAAACTTTAATGAGTCGATGCCCTGACCGACCGTATCTTGGTTTAAAGAAGGCTTTGGTTGCCGAGGCGGAAGTCTCAGGAACGGTACGACTATGATATTAATCAACTTTCTTTGTCTCATTATGAAGGTGCTGTCGAAATCAGGTAACTTTTGCTGTGCTCAATGAAGTTCTTAGCGACTTTGGACTCGCACTTTTATCGAAGCAGCGAGCAAATTTGATGAATGTTCTCGATCCAGAACTTAACGGCCGCGTGAGTATCGATGGTGAGAAGGATTTAAGTTGGATCAGCAGTACCTCAAGCCTTGACATTCTTTGTAGATTTTTTCTATAATCTCTGCGGTGATGCTGAAGCGTATGATAAAACGATGAATCCTCGAAGACCGATGTCGTCAACCCGTGAGCGAATTAGCCCGGTCGTGCTGACACTAGCCTCCGAACCAGTCGTTTTGAAGGTGAGGGTACGCTAAAAAGCGGCATGACAACATCAACACACATTAATATCATTTGTCCTGCACTAGCCAACACCACCGTCTCAAAAGCCGATTTCCCCATTGCCACCACCCATGCGTGCGTCAAAAGGGCGAAACATGACCTGGCAGGAGATGAAGCAATTTTTAGTATCCAATGTCCCAGATGGCTGGGAAACACGATTTACTGAAAAAGGCCGACCATACTATTGCAATCACGCAAGCCGGTACGATCAGTCGTTAAACTGCAGTACTTTTGTGTTTACTCAACAATGACTTGTGCTGGTTGATCTACATAGATCAACACAATGGAAACACCCTAGATCAGAGACTGAAGCGATCTTTAGCGAATGGGTCCAACAAAATGGTGCCAATTTTAATCGAAAAGCTACATCAACTCGTGCTTTTACGACATAGCAGTAATTCGGTTATAAACGGAAGCCGATGCTATATACAATATACAAATCGCGCTTTACCACTCCCCCCAATCATCTGTAGCCTTTAACATCGCGTCGTTCTTGCTATCGTCACTAAAGACCGATACTGATGACGTCGGTGAGCACAGCGGTAGTCCATCAGCCAGCAAGACGTCGTCAATTGAGTCTTCAAGCACATTTTCGGTGTCGTTACCGACGTCATCAGCACAGTGGGCTGCACTTTCGTGAAAAGCACGAAACATTCCAAGCTCCGCTCTAAGTACGCCCATTTCACTTTTAGCTTCAGCCTGTGCTTTTTTGTAGCCGTTGTGAAAAGCCTGATCAAGCTCTTGCTTCATATGTTGCTCCATCTCTGCCTTGCCAGCTTCAATTCCCTTTTCGAAAGCTTCACGAGCACGTGCTTCGGCACCAGCCAGTGCGTTTGCCAGTTGCATCTGTAAGTCATTCATCCGAGCTTGAAGCTTGCTATGATCGTCGATATTTCCAGCTTGAGCACTCGCAGAAGCATCAGAATTTGCTAACTGAGTAGCTGCATCAGCGTCACGTTGCTGTCGTAGAGACGTGAGCTCAGCTTGCACGAGGTCCTTTAGTTTCTTCATCTTGAGTGCTCGCATCCGCCACAGATCCTTCTCCTTTGTCAGTTCAACAGCAGCTGTAGTTTTTAATCCACCTTCGTGCTTTTCCAATTCAGCAATTCTTTCACGAGCAGATTGCACCATCATCTCTAATTCTTCCTTCTCTTTTATCAACCGAGCTACTTGAGCATCATTTGAGCCATTCTCTACTATATCAACCCTACGTTGCAATACTTCTTTCTCTGTTTTATGTTTGATGCTTTCTACAATTGCCTGACTCTCACGAACGCCTTCATCATAGCCTTGAGCCCGTGCTTCATCAATCTGCATCAAAGTTGCAGCCATCTTACTCTCGTACGAATCACATAGTGTCTGCAGTTGTTGTTCCCACTCATTTAAAGCCTTTTGCTCCTTTTCATCATGTATCTGCTTTATCTCTTGCAATTGAGAGTGCAACTCTCTAGCTTTTAGTCGCCACTGTGTCGCTGCGCGACGCTCTGCGTCTCTTGCGGCTCGTAAAAGCCAAATTCCCTCCTGCTCTGATTGTTGTCGTTCTTCTGGTCTTGTTTCGTCTTCTCTCTTTTCTTCAGGTGGTGTCAATGTATCAATTTGCTCCAAAAACTGTGTCTGCTGCTGACGGAAAAAGTAGCGACGCCAAAACTCTTCATCGCTCAACTTTGATGGCACTAGCGTATGATGCAATTCGCAAATATCATTGTTCTCATCCATTGCGCGTGTAATTTCATGCTTGTGTTCGTCGATAGAAAAAAAGGTCGAAAACGCCTTGTAATCTGCCAATTCTTCGAAAAGTATTTCATCCACGGGACCAGTACGAATCGATCTCATGGCACTATGAAGCAGAGTAGACGCTTCATCCTGCACAGCAATTGCAAGACTCTGTGCTTTCTCCTGGACGGAATTAACGTACCCCGACGCATTCTTTGCCACCTGCTCTAGCGTTTGCCACATGGTGTTTAAACAGAGAATTAAGTTCTACATCACCGAGCCCTCTATATAAAATATACCGGTTTATATATTCCACGTGAGAAGTTTGACTTTGATGTGGCACGAGTCGTACTTTTACATCGACAACTTTTTGTTGAAAACTTCTTTAACATCGGGAAGATTGACCACAGTCGCACTTGCATGTAAAAGATGCCATGATAGGTCTTGTGTCAGCTATTTAGCGAACCTTTCTCGGGTATACAGCAGCTTTATCAGACCCTATCTGCTCAAAGGTAAATATATATCGACTATGCATATAGTTAAAAGCTTAAAAAAATATTCTTACATGTCACTTACTTTCCAGCTTCAGGTATTCGAGAATTTATATATACAGTATCAACAAATCATAAAAAAGGGAGAATAAAAAAAATGCCCAACTTTTGCCATATATAAAAAAATATCCCACTTTTTCAAAAAATAAAAAAATACCCCAGCACGTAAATTATCACCGAGGAGCCGTAATATTACACAACAGAAGATGTATTGTATTAGGAATGAATTAGCATAATT